GGGACCCTGGGGAAGGAGGGTGTGTGTGTGTGTGTGTGTGTGTGTTTGCAAGGAGTTAATGCAGTCAGCTGCTAACCACAAGTTTGAAATTCAAGTCTATTCAGAGTCCCTCTGTGAAAACGCCTGGGGATCTACTTCCAAAACAGCAGCCACTAAAAATCTGATGGTGCACGTTCTGAAACACGAGGTCATCGTGAATCAGAGGAGATTGATGGCAGCATGGAAACCGGTGTGCAGTGGTAAAGTAACCTATAGTTTTATATAGGCAGATAAGTGCATAAAAATGTGATTCTACATATCCATCTATAAATACATTAGCTTCCAAACAAAAAGCAAAGGATTCATTGACACAAAATTTAAAATAGTAATTAATCGCAGAGGCAACAGCTAGAGGGAAGGGGATATAAGAGGGAAAGTTACAAAAAAGATTTTAAAGATACTGATGTTATTCTTTATCTTAAGGGAGGTGTTCCATCTCTAAGAGTTTTTATTATGCTCAATATACATGCATACATACTTACATGTACATGCATCATAAATTCAATGTTCCTATGTGAAATGATTTTTATTAAAATATCAAAAATTAATGAATACCAAATTTTTATCAGTAGGAGCCCTTGTGGAATAGTGGTTGGGCTCCTAACAGAAAGGTCAGCAGTTCAAAACCCCCCGCTGCTCCTCGGGAGAAAGATGAGACTCCACTCCTATAAAGAGTTAGTCTCAGAAGGGGCAGTTCTGCCCTGTCCTACAGGGTCTCTAGGAGTTGTCATCTACTCAGTAGCAGCGAGTTTGGTTTGGGGAATTTTTGTCAATAGGCAAAAGGAGTACAAAACAGCATAGTATTTCCTTGAAACACATAACTTCTATAACTGACTCAAGATACAAAAGCCTGACTATGTATGTATATGTATGTGTGCAGTTATACATGTTAAATCAGTAGGTGCAACTATTCTATAAAAAGGGGGAGGTGGCTGCCAGCTCAAATGGTTTCACAAACCAACGCTACCAGGGAATGGAAACCCAGTTAGACTAAAATTCAACCAGAATGAGCCTTAGAAGTGAAGATGGTGTGGTGGTTACATGATCTGGGGTCAACTTGCAAAGGGCTGGAGTCTAACCTGTCAATCAGGTCGCAGCTTGATGACCTCACTTGGAGATGCCAGAGATAAATAGCTCACTGGAGGCCTGCTACAGACACACTTTCTGCTTCGTTTTCCTGATGACAAGACACATGGAGTAATGCGAAAGCCCTGGAGCTGGAGGACCCATGTGGAGACCCCTGCCACCATTGAGATGCTTCCACTGCCACTGGATCCACAAGACTGTCTATCCACTAGCCTGTGATCTTCCTGTATTCAGAGTCATTGCATGGTTGCATGAGTCTAACGAGGAATTTATAGCTGGATATTGAACATATGGGCTAATATTGGACTTAAAGACTTGATCTCAACTGGGCTGGGATGGTTTCTTAGTATACAATTGCTCTTTTATATAAAACTCTTTCCTATGCACATATGAGTGTCTGAATTTGGTTCTTAGTCAACCGGGACTGACACAGATGGTAAGACGTTGACTCATTCCCTGTACAGACTCATCACCAGGAAAGACCAAAAGCTAAGGAAGGACCTGATGGCTGTTAAAGGAGGTCAGTCCAAACAAGTAAAACCCTTCGCGACGTGGATCACACAGTAGCCACATCCCTTAATGTAGACTTTCCAGTGATCCTTAGAATGAAGAGTTTGCTCTGTCTATGGAAGGCCAACATACATGGGAGCCAGCTTGCCCAGAACTAGCAGCAGCAGCAGGCTGATAAGGGGCATCTTCAACAAACCCACAGAGGCATCCTATATGATATGTTTTAAATTTCCTTAAAAATCAAGAAAACCTCAAAGACGGACTCACTAGCGTGGCTTCCATCTCACCTGGCTCTAGAAATGGAGGATTCCAAAGGAAGAAAAGAGCATAATGGTTGGAAAAGAAGTAACAATATTTGCCAGGTGTGGTCATTTACAGGATTGTCTACCAAGTAAAACAAAACAAAAGAGGTGAAACAACAAAGTTGTGTTTAAATGTGTGTTGATAGCCAACGATTAAAATACTGTATCACAAACGAAAATCTCAAACTCACTGCCATCAAGCGATTCTGACTCTTAACAATGCAAGAAGACGGGCGAGAACTGCCCCTGTGGTTTTCCGAGATGATAGCTCTGTAGAAAGCCCTGTCTTTAGTTGCTGGATTATCAAATCAATATACAATAGCCATTGACATATCTATTCAACATCTGTTATAAAACATAGCTTAAAAATATCATTTCTGAGGAGTCAAAAGTGTGCTTCCTCTTCTGGAGGGCAGAGTGACAAAGAGCGAAAGTTTGCCATTTTTAGGATCCTGGTAACATGCTGATCCTGGATATGGGGATAGGAGCAGGGAGTTTGGGAATTCAGTAATCCATGTACTGTTATGTACATATTTCACACTTTAAGTGTTTTGTAAATTATCATTTATAGTAGTAAAAAATATAAAATATACTGTGCATATTCGTGTATAAGCTGAGTTTTTCAGCACATTTTTAATGCCATTTTTGTGGTAAAATTAGGTGCCTCGGCTGATATTCGGGTCAGCATATACTCGAGTATATACAATATGTTGAAACAACTACAATTGGACAGGACCTAGGAAATTATAAAATTTTACTAAAGATACTTAAAAACACCTGCCCTAAATGAAGAGGCATACCATATTCATGGATAAAAAGACTCGTGCTATACACATAACAAAATATCCACCAGCGAGTAAGGGATCAATTGTGGAAAACTAAGTAGCAGTGAAAATGAATGAACTAAAGCTACAGGTAGCAACAGGAATGCATTGGAAATAATACTGAATAAAAGCTACTGCTAAAGGCTGGGCATATACTAGTATTACCAATTAAGAATACAAATCCACTCTTTGTCATTCTTAAAGACATACATGTGGAAAGAGAATGAAGCACAGGACTGCTAAACCCTTAGCTCAATGTTTAAGGTGCTAAATAAAAATTAAAAATAAATCCTATTGCGATGAACCTGATCCCAACCCAAGGCCAACCCACTCCACGTGGCAGAGGCAAATGGCTTTCTAGGCCATATGATCTCTCCTCTTTGTGGAAGCAGATCCCCGTGATGCGCTTCCCCGAGAGGCTGCTGGGGGGCGTTGAACCCCCAACCTTTAGGTTAGCAGTCAAGGACCAATGTCTGAAATACTTTAAACAAGCACTCTTTTGAAAGGTAAGGAATTCCTTTTCCTCAAGAGAGAACCAAGACTAGGGCCAAGAGGAAGAAGCTGTGCACAAATTCATCGAAAGCCACCTGAGAATAACATGGTGCCTTTAGACAGTTGTCAGAGAATCATCTTTCTTTGGGCCTGACAGGCAGACTACCAGGTACAAGGATTAAAAGATACTAAATGCAGAGAAGTTATTGTATAGTTCCTTACCTCGTATTCCCTTTCTGCCACATTTCCAGAAGCCGGGGAGATGCCCTGGGGTAGAAAATGCACACGTGCAGAAGCACCTCCTCCACGTGCAGCCCGGAGGTCAGAATGGAAAGATGTGGCTTTCCAGTAACAGTATTGGACCTGCCACAAAAAGGCCCAATGAGTAATTTGAATGTAGTCAGAAAATAAGGCATGATAATTGTAGCATTTTCCTGAATTATCTTTTGCTACTGGATTTACATCAGTGGTTCTCAACCTTCCTAATGCTGTGACCCTTTAATACAGTTCCTCATGTTGTGGCGACCCCCAACCATAAAATTATTTCTGCTGCTACTTCATACTTGCATTTTCGCTACTGTGATGAATCGGGTGGCCCCTGTGAAAGGGTCGTTCGACCCCCAAAGGGCTCGTGACCCACAGGTTGAGAACTGCTGATTCAGATAGATCATCTTTCTGAGTCTGATTGTCCTATCTATATGAGAGAAAGGTTGGCCTTCTGAACTTTCAGTTCTTTCCTGACAGGCAGTGTAAGAACCTAGCACTCAAGCACCTTAGATTCCAGTGTGGAAGACACGAAGAATACATACACAATTAGAGTATTAAGATGACAATGCCCAGCGTCCAGAGAGAAGCCCCCATACACTGTTGGAAGATCAATGGAAGGAGAAATTAATGGATGTGAGAACAGGGCATTCTTCTAACAAGAAATGAGGCTAAATTGGACCTATTTTATTTTCACATGGTCTTTGGGTCAGAGAAATCATCTTTGGCTATTACAGATCACTTAAAATCACAGAAGATTGGAGACAGAGAAAAGCATTTATTCTACGTATTCATCCAGTCTTCCAAATCTTTACCTAGCAGGTATGACATGTTATCTGGGACTCTAGGGAAGTAGCAGAAAACTAAACATTCAAAGTTCTTGCTCTTATCGCATTCATTTCTCAGGCTAGGTGGGGTAAATCACATAGTAAACAATCATATAAACAAACAAACAAGATGATTTCTCCAAGCGACAGAAACCACAGCCATCAAGTCAGTTCAGAGTTATAGCGACTCTATGTGAGCACTAAGTCTTTATGGGAGCCGATAGCCTTCATCTTTCTCCTACGGAATTGCTGATGGGTTTGAACCACCCACCTTGCAGTCGGCAGCCCAATACTTAGCTGACAGCACCACCGTGGTGCACTAGCCCATGGCAAGTGCCAAGAACATAAAGCATTTTGGTGTGGTAAGTGGATGATGTGGTGGTTGGCGTGAAATGTGTTACTGTGAAGTCAATTCTGAATCACGGCAGCCACCCATGTGTTATGGAGCAGAACAGCTCTGGAGTTTGTTTAACTGGACTCTTGGTGGGAACAGACCACTAGGCATTTTCTTCTGTGATAGCACTGGGTGGGCTCTATCCATCTGTAGATCATTCCAACCACCCAGGGACCTTGGGTTGGGATGTTGTTGGGTTCCATCAAGCCAATTCCAACTGGCAGCGATATTTTTGATAGAGGTCACAGCAGGCCCCTGTGATGAACTTTTACTCAGGTTTCAGATCTGGTCTACACTCCCTCGCACTGATATTTGCTCCCTCCCCCCCACCTCCCCTGCCATGTAAAGACCTTCTCTCCCCCGCCCTCTCTCTTCATTACTTTTTTTCACTAGGACCTCCCCATGCATTGTCATAATGTGTGCAGTGAGAAAACTTGGATCCCTAATTTTGAAAGTGATCAATAAAAACAAATTAAAATTCAGGATTAGGAGGTCTTGTTGCCACATTATTTCCCCAAGAACAAAAGACAGAGTGATCTCATTGTTATTTCTCCAGAGATCTCTACCCATAACATAAAGCCATTTAGTGCAGCTTAACGCGGCACTAACTCACTGCTTCTCGCTTGTTCTTCCTCCAGAGAACCTTGGGGAGGGAGACAAAGCAGGTAGATGAATGAGAAACACCCAGCTCTCCACACTTCAAAGACTGCAGGAGGTTGCATGTGGCTTAGCCATCCACTTTTGGGTGGGGCTTTCCTGGAAGGGAATGGGAAAGGCTGGATTGTGTGTGTGTGTGTGTGTGTGTGTGTGTGTGTGTGTGTGTGTGTGTGTGTGTGTGTGTGTACCCCAAGAAAATGGGGAGGGTGTGGTAGTGGAGGAAGACCTGCAGGACAAGGGCCCAATTTGGCCTGAAGGAATGTGATGAGAGGTGGGGGAAATCCAAAGTGGATGCCCTGCTACCAATGTTGAGAACGGAGAGGGACAATTCCATCCAATGAGAGGTGGAGAGGACTCACTATAGAAGGCCCAGGGCCCAGGTCTCAAACAGAAGCCCCTGGGATAGTTCTGTGAACGAAGTAGGAAGTCACCTCCCTCTCCAGATGGTCACGAGGCTACATGAGACGCCCTCTGTATGTGTCCAGTGCAGGGTGGGTGGCAAGGTTGGCCATTGAGACTAGAAGTGCAGGCCCTGGGGTTGTCACCATGGAGCTTCCATCCTAGCTGGGTGCCCTCTGTGAGACCTTGTTTTCTCACATCGAGCATTAGGATGCTTGCTCTACTGGGGCCCCGTGAGGATAAATGAGGTCATGCACTTAAACAAGGGGGCTTCGCAAAGCTTGTGGGGAAGGCCCGTTATCTCTTCATTCCATTTTTCTGTGACCTTTTAGAAAGCACAGTCCGTAGCACAGAGCCTAGAACTGACACAGCAAGCACTCAAAGATGACCATAAGGAGGAAGCTCTTTCAAGCTTTGAAAGAAACCCTGGAGGGCTTCTCCCCTCCTCTCTCCTTTGCTGTTGAACAAGGCAAGCCCCAGAACAAAGCCATTTAGAGCATGAGCTCAGGACTGAATGCCTCCCACGCTTAAATGTCACTGCCGTTTACTGGCTACGTGGCATCGTCACTTGACATTTTTTTAATTCTGTTTTCTCATCTGTAAAAGGGGGACCCTGAATTTAGAATCATGAGAAATGAATTTAATCTAAGCAAAGAGCTTAGTCTAATGCCTGGCTCCTAATAAACAGTCGCCAAGTTGTGGTGGTCATGATGTCCATTCACGATGGGATCAAATGATGAGATCCATCTATTTAAACAGATTAAAGGAAGTCGACCCCCCAAAAGGAAGCGGCATTGACAATATTCAAATGTAATTAGTGATTTCAAGCTTACTAATATAGTAACACATTGATTTTAAATGATTTCCATGTATACAACTTTATACCTTAACAGGAAATGCACGTTTTGTTTGAATACACACAAAATAAACTGAACATGTACTAGGCCATTAAGCAAGCCCAATTAGGATGTGAGGGCGATCTGGCTGTGACATGTCACCCCATTGATCGCCAGAGTTGACTCAGCTGATCTGGCTGGCTAGCCGGGTGTCCCCTTCCTCCCTCACCGCTCCATGTGCGTCCCTCCCGAAGCTGGGCACTCTGGGGAAGAGGACGACCTTCCCTGATAGAAGGAGGGTGGTCCTTCAGTCGAGGGTATACGAGTAGCTGCGCTCCCTCCCCTGCTAGATTCTCCAAACAAGTCTGAAGAAAGCCCTGTTAGAGTCTAAAGAATCCATAGCACAGAGACCATGTCCCCCCACTGTAATACCATGAAATTTGAGATAGGTAACTAAAGGACAACTTTTAAAAACCCGTCATTTGAGAAACAGACAACCTATTGCTAAGTAATATTTGGGTGGGAAAGGAAGTCATAAAACACACTGAATAGCCCGTGACGGGAATAAGCATGGAAGTGGAGCATGTTTCCTCGCGGAGCAGAGCTGCAGCAAGTCTTCAGAGGGCAGGCCTAGCTTGAAGTTCATTTGTCAGAAAAGAAAAGTTCCAAAACAAATGAGCTGGATATACAGATGGCAAATAAGCACATGAAAAGATGTTCAACATCATTACCCATTAGGGAGATGCAAATTAAGACCCCAATGAGAGATCACTACACACCTATCAGCATGGCTCATTCAGAGGACAATCAGGAGGGAAAAACACGGGATCTCTCATGTTGTCACTGAGCCACGGAGCATGGATGAGTGTGCAGCCACTCGAGAAGAAGGCTGGCCGTTTCCTATGGGAAAGCTCAAAATGGCCTTACCACATGCCCTAGCAATTCTAGCCTCAGGCGTTCTACTCAGAGAAAGAAACACCTAGAGGCGTGTAGAGACATGTTTGTCTCGGGTCTATTTGTAATAACCACAAACTGGAAACCGGCCTAACAACCTACAAGAGAATGGTTAAAAGAACTAGGGTATGTCTGCACCACGGACTACTACTCAGCAATAAAAGGGAACAACTAATACATGAACTTGAAAGGAATCTTGCGTGGAGGAAGGGAGAGCGCGAGAAAGATGGTAACAGAGAAACGGAGGTCCCATTGACCCTGCATCCAGTCTTCAGTGTGAACTACAGCTAGAGTACCAGGTGATGGGCATTACCAGAATCAGGTAATTGACATTAGTATAACCCACAGACCGCGGTCGGATTTCACGTGTTGGTGTGGTGGGGTGGGGCGGGGGTGAGTGGAATCTGAAGAAGTTTTATCACATGGGTCGCTTTGTGTAACTACTTCTACAATCAAGACAGGCTACAAGGCTTTCTCATTCTGCCCTGTGAGAGCTGCCAGCCCCTTCATCATGGACCCCTGTCAATCACTCATGTTTTTCCCATTCCTCTAGAATTGTATGAGTTCAAGAATTGGGTGTACATGAAGTCAGACCCTTTGTAACGGCTACAGTCCTTTGTTACTTGCTGTAAGCGACCATCATCATTTCCATAAAAGAAGGTAAAAATGAGTGGAGCATTCAGCTTCCAAGATTTTAGAATGAGGTCTAAAACAAGGAAATGAATAAAATAATAATAATGATGATCCAAAACATGTTTGTAGAATACTGGCTTATGAACCGTTCCAACTTTAAATATCCCCCCTTCTCCCAACAGTGAGACAAGGCCATTGTTGATAAAGCTTGCCACCAATCTATGATGATTATTTTTTAATTCTCATAAAGCGTCGGGAGAAGGGGGGATATTTAAAGTTGGAACGGTTCATAAGCCAGTATTCTACAAACATGGTTCATAAGGACTATTTCAGTGTGATCCTTGGCAGATAAGGAAGGCAAGAATGTGTCTGATCCCCACTGCTACTTAACCTTCACCTGGAGCTCCTGGCCCACACCTTAAGGAAAGGAAACAGGGCAAGTAAAGATTTGAAAATAACGAAAACTCATTATTTGGAGATGATATGGTAATCTTCTTGGAAAAATCTATACTAATCAAAAACTGTGAGAAGCAAAAAGAGTTCAACAGGGGTTCCAGATAGAAGATCAACTTACAAAAATCAATAGCATGTCTCTATACCTGCACTAATGAACCAGAAAAAATCTAATTAAAATAAAAAACATAGCAAATACACATTACAAAATATTTAGGATTTACATAGCCCAAGAACATACACCTTGCTCAACAGAGAAAACTTTGATACGTGGTTCAGAAGAGCGGTCTCAGTGGAGAGCCAGTCCCTGTCCACGGTTGATCCAGCACTGTCACAGATGCTGCCTCTGAGGGGGATCTGCAGGCATGTGACTGTGATGCTTTCTCAGTAACAAGCCCTGTTGGGTTTTTAAGGAACTTTCTTTAAAATCAATTCCATAAGTTGATTCTGACTCATAGCAATCCTATTGGACAGGGTAGAATTATCCCAGTGGGTTTCCAAGACTAACTCTTTACAGCAGTGGTTCTCAACCTTCCAAATGCCATGACCCTTTCATACAGTTCCTCATGTGGTGGTAACCCCCCCAACCATAAAATCATTTTCATTTGACTTCATCACTGTCATTTTGCTACTGTTATGAATTAGGCAACCCCTGTGAAAGGGTCATTCAACCCCAAAAGGGGTCACGACCCACAGGTTGAGCACCACTGCTTTGCAGGAATAGAAAGGCTCATTTTTTCTGCTGTGGAGCAACTGATGGTTTTGAACTGCTGACTTTGCAGTTAGCAGCCTAGTGTGTAACCACTACACTGACAGGGCTCCTCAAATGTGTCTAAAATATAAAATCTATAGTTACAACTCAAATTTGAAAAGGGATTTAAAAGAGAGAGAGAGAGAGAGAGCACAAGAGTGAGAGCTTGTCCCATCAGGTATTAATAGATACTATAAGTCATAATTATTAAAACCTGCTGCACTGGAACTATATAACATGAAAATCCACCAAGAGAACAGAATTGAGACCTTAGTAATCAAGCTATGTTAGTATAGAGAAAAACGTTATATGTGATAAAGGCAGCTCTACTAATCAACTACACAGGACTGAATATCTATTAAATTGTGTGGGGAGAATAGTTTCCACTCAATCAAGGAAAAATAAAAGTGGATTCCAACCTAAAACCTCATGCCAAGCTAGTGGACATGGGAGGCCTTAAAACTGAAATGCTTCAAAAGATAAATCCATCAGCACAGAAGGAAATATTGATGAACGATTTTGCAAGCAGGGGTTGGCCGTGGGTTTCTGAAGCAAGGATGCTCGTCCTTCATGAGAGAAGGGGGAGGAAATGAACAGCAGGGGCTCATTCTTGAATACCATACAGCAGCCAGCAGCATCAGACCCAGTGTGCACCGAGCAGCAAGGGAAGGGGAGGTGTCTTCTTAGTGCTGAATGAAAATAAGAACGTGAAAGAAAGAACGAACGAAATATAACACCATACCATTTGTTGCCGTTGTTGGGTACCATGGCGTCAGGTCCAACTTGGACTGCCCCTGTGTGCCCCACACAGTGACACACTGCCCTGCCCAGGCCATGCTAACAATTGTTCATATGTTCAAGCCCATTGCTGCAGCCACACGATCAAGCCTTTTTGTGGAGGGCTGGCCTCGTTTCGTTACCACTGTTTTTCCAAGCATGATGTCCTTCTCCAGGGACTGGTCTCTTATGACAGTATGTCCAAAACACACGAGACCATGTCTCACCATTCTTGACTTTAAGGAGCATTCTGGCTCAACTTCTTCCGAGACAGACTGGCTTGTTCTATCAGCAGTCCGTGGTTCTTTCAAGATTCTTGACCAGCACCATCATCCACATGCACCAATCCTTCCCGGGTCTTCCGTATCCAGTGTCCAACTTTCACATGCGATACCATTAATGTAAACAAAAATCAGTTGATGGTGTATGTTTTCTAAGAATTCCAAATAAGCATACTTGAATGGTTCTCAAGGTTGTCTTAGGTCCAAGTGAGGGCCAATGGAATTGGGAAACCCTTCTGGATTTTGATAGACTCAGTGGCTGCAGGAAAGGGCTCAAACACACGAATGGCCGTGAGGGTGACGACAGACTTGTCAGCATTGCTTTCCGTTCTGCATTAGGTCCTTCTGCACAAGGAAGAGCAGGCTTGACGGAAGCTAACAACTGTCTATGCTAAGAGAGTGGGAACAGCACAGAAGGGCATGAACAAGCCTGGCTGCAGTCAGGATGGGCTGGGTTTGTAACAGCCACAGCTAGCCTGACCTCAGTGTCTTCACCCACAGAGAAACCTGTCCCTCTCCTGCCATATGACAAGGACTCTGGTGAAGGAAGGCATCCTTACAGTAGGGGCTTCCACAGCAGGGGAAGTCGAAAAGGAACACACGAACACACATACACACACACACACACACACACACACACACACACACACAGTCTTAAAGCTACGGTGAACGTGGTGGGCAGCTTCTGGTTTCGTTCCATTAGGTCAAACAAGTCCCACGGCCACACCCAACTGGGAAGGAGCCGGGAAGGGCGATCCAAACCTGTGCTAGCAGCCAGGGGAGGAGTCCTATCTGGAAAGAGACCCAATGTCTGTTTTTCAGAGAAATTGTTCAACAGAACACACCATTGGTTAAACTTTTGCTCCACTTAACTGCATCAGAAATGAACCACCATGGGCAGAGTTGAGAAATACCTATGAGATGTCTAGAATTTCTACAAGTGAGTAGGTAGCATATGAGCAGGGAGTTTTTAAAGCTGGAAACGCACTGGGCCAATGAGCATAGAAAGAAACTCCGAAGGACATGAGGATTACAGAAATTCGATAAAACAGTAGTGGGACAAAAGGCACTATAGCCATCACGTTGGCAAGCATCAGGAAACTGGATCAGGCCAAGCACTGACCGGGATGTGGGCTCACAGGGGCCTCCAGACATAGTGAGGGAGGCTTGGCTGAACTTCTCTGGAAGCAAGTTGGCAGTGCTTCTGGGAACCAAGTTTACTCAGACCCTATACATCAGCATATCTGCTCACAGAACCATATGCCAGTTCACACGAGTCTAGGAGGGGTCATCTCCAAAGGAGAGCTGGGACCACATTATGGATGGTAGTGAAGAACTGGAGGCAAACTGTTTGTCTGTCAAGGGGGACTAAGAGGCGGTGGGTCATGGTGGATTCCCTTCATAGAGTCCTGTGTAGGGGGAGACGTGATGAGCGTGTGCTACACAGCAGCATAGGTGAGTGTCAGAAGCATAGAGCCTAGTGATTCCAAAGTAGACGTGTGCAGGAGACAAAATGTGTACCAGCTGCCGAATGTCAAACTGATGATAGGTTGTCTAAACTGTCACCTGATTCACAAATTTTAAAAACATTTAAAGAATGCATTTAAAGGACTTGTAAAAACATGTTGCAAGAATTCACCCAACACAAAGAGCCCACGTGAGACATACAGAGTCTGTCTGTGCAGGTTAGGCAACGAGAGCAGGAGGTGTGGACCCCCAAAAAGTACGGGAACCGGCAGAACAGTATTTGGGGGTTTTGATGCGGGGCAGATGAGCACTACAGGGAATATATAGATGAATGAGGTCTGAGCCAACATTGGGGAAGATGAGGCTGGGAAAGAGCTACCTGGCAGTCTGTCTGGAGGTGGATATTGAGGATTGCAGAGAGCTTCAAATGTTGTCAAGACCCTGCCTTCTCTCTGAGGTGCGTGCTAGGACAGTCCACATGAATAAAGAGTCAGCAACTGCACATGGGATTTCATTACACTTTTCAAGTGAGCCTCACTGGACAGATTATACTCTTATGATTGGAGTTCGCACGGCTCATACTTTGTGATGGGCAGGTAAGAGTTGGCAAAGATGGAGTCCTTGCAGGTCAGAGGCATGTCGGGGACTATTGAAAGGGCACTGAGCTGGATAACTCTTGACAATGAGGGCCTGCATCTATTTCGTAGCAGGCCACAGCCTCCTCTGAGCACGAGGCAGAAAGGGTTGCCCATCTACCCCAAATCCACCAGAGGAAAGGGCTGTGGACTCTATCAGCCGCCCTCTTGGCCGATCAGGGGGATAAGCACAGAGCTGGGTGCCATTTCATCCCATTGCTCGTACGGTCCCCATGAGTTGGGGCCAGCTGAGGAACAGGGGGTGTTAGCCTGTCACCTTTGCCAAGAGATGCTCAGCGAGACCCGCAGGAACTTCAAGAGCAGGACCAACATTCGAGGTCAGTTTGCATTGTTCTGGCCCCAGGTCCCCTTCTTGGGGCTCAGTCATGCAGTGATTTTCACATTGTCAAATTCCCTTTCTCGTGGCCTAACGACGTGAATCCCAAATGGGACTTAGCAGGGAGCAAGTCCTTTGAAATGTTTCCTTCAGTTTAGAGACACTCTTTTGTATATTTCAAAGGCTGAAACTCTGGCTGCAGTGAATAAGCTGGTTGGGCATTTCTGGGACTGCTGACTCCGAAGGGTCTTTTGAGGTTCAGCGGTGTCCTGAGTCAGGTCTATAGATGAACACGGTTCCTGGGGAGATCAAGAATGTCCTCGGGGGCTGAGGAGGAAGGTTCACAGTTGTCAGCAGTCTCAGCTTTGAAAAATCCCAGATCTCTGCATAAAAAAACACCTAGCACTCCACTATGCAACGGTATTCAACTCTGCGGACCACAACAAAGAACGGAGAGATCGGAGAACGGGAATTCCAGAACACTTCAATGTGCTCCTTCCGAACGTGTACATGGGTCAAGAGCCTGTGGGGCAAATGGAACAAGAGACTATTGTCCGGCTGTAAATCAGGGACGGTGTGCATGTGGGTTGCATCCGCTCACCATATTATTCAACCCATATGCTGGGAAAATCCTCTGAGAAACTGGCTTATGTGAAGAACAGGGCGGCATCAGGACGGGAGGACGGCTCACTAACAACCTGTGGTCTGCAGATGACACACCTTGCTTGCTAAAAGGAAGGACTTAGAACACTTGATGATGGAGCTCAGGAATTGCAGCCTTGAGTATGGAGGACAAGCCAATGTAAAGAAGATCCAAAGCCTCCCAACGGAACCCGTAGGTCACATCGTGATAAACTGAGGAAATACTGAAGTTGTCAAGGATTTTCTCT